AGAAAAATTTAATTTTTCTGTAGCACTTCAATAATTAAAATACCAAATAGAATTTTAATTAATTGAAAAACTCAGAAAATTAATTTTCTAAAAAAACCAAATTAATTTTTTCACAAAAATATATTCTGAATTCGTTAATGAACACCAGTATCGTACTACTAGTTGTTGTCAAAGAAAGCAGAGACAGTAATTTACTATACTATCTGTCAAATTAGCATATAATCACTATTTGTTTTTCCAACCAGAATATTTATTTTGTAAATTTCACATGAAAATTTTAATTTTCTTCCGAAAGTTTTACGAAAAAATGAAAAAAAGAAACAACGCAAAAAATTAGGTAAAAACAGAATAATTCGGATCTGTTCTTAAGATTGTTGGAACAAATCTTCTGTGTAAATTTAAAATAAAATTAAAACAAAGTCCAAATTAAAATTAAAATTAAAATAAACTTCACCGAATTTATTTATCGAACCGAATTAAAAAATAAAAAAAAAGACCCAAAGTCGAGTGTGTGGGGACCACTCTGTCCTTAAGACAGATTTCGCCCGGCTACGGTGCTTACGGGTTGAGTGGCGTCTATTCTCCCAGGGATTACAAAATGAATTCTTCACAAAAAAATTGTAGGTAGCCACTCCAAACAATTTTATTTCAAAAACAAACCAAACTTGTGTTCGGAACCTCTCTGAAAAATTATCCTAAAAATTTTAATATGAAGAATAAAAAAGATTTTTTGCAAAGAGAGGGGCCAAAAAATGAAGGCAAGGAAAAAATAAATTTTCGGAATCAATTCAAAAATTTGGAATGCGGGGCTGTCCTTTATATAGGCTTTGTTGGCACATATTCAATTTGGAATAGAAAAATGATGAAGAAGGGACATACCCCTTCCTTTGGTAAAAATAAAGGAGACACCATGGAAAGGTTTGCACCCTTCATTCAAATGGAGTTTGACTCTTCCTTTAAAACCAAAAAAGACACTTGAAAGGTTACACCCTTTCATTCAAAATGGAGGTCTATTTCAATTCACAACTATTCTCTTTATAATTTTCTAACACCACTAACACATTCAACTATTTTCTATTACAAGACGAGATATCTCTCTCAATATATGCCATTACATTCGAAAATTGAAATATGTTTTTGTTCTTTTATTTAAGTGGTGAATAATTATTATTTGTCTATGATTTTCCAATTATAAGTTGAATTATGTTATATAGTTGTAGTGAAAATGGTTCAAAGGACATTATTAGACAATGGCTGAACAGACGCAGCGTGGATTAGCGGTGCAAATAGATTAGTATCTGATAAGCATGGCATACACGGGTCGTGAGAATAAAAATCTGATCGAACATTGTGTTGAACTGGAGTAGAAGATATTACAAATCTTCGTATGAGTGTGGTTCGCCCAATGTGCAATGCAAAGGAAAAGGGAATTTAGGGTTGAGGTAGATATGCTTATGGAATGAGTATAATCCGTCAGAGAGTGAGAACGATAGTGATAACGAGTCATTGGGTTCCTTTTATCGCAAGGTCTTATATACATTATTTTATATTATGTGTGTGAACATATCATTTACTAATTAAATATCTTCTTCATATATCTTTAAACATTATATCTTTTTAAAAATATTATTTAACCGTGTTAATATCTTCTTTAACTATTCGATATATGTTATTTCAGGAACAAGAGAATGCCACGGGGTTACGTTTACAGCCTTATTCGAGGCCATAACTCCCACCCCAGAAGAAGGGATGGATCCCCACGTCAAGAGATCTGGTACCCACCCTTACCCTCATAATGTGCAACCTGTGCAATAAGGTGACTGCATCTAGTAGTGTTGGTAAGTTTGCAAAGTTGTTTATATTTATTTACAGGTCTAACTTGCCATTTGTTTACTTATTCCCACTAATTAACATTATGTCCTGTTACAGCATCACATGACAGACGTGGTCGTGGTCCAACACGCGGCATACAAACCAACGCAATTGTCTAGAAAAATGGAAGATGTTGGTTCCTGTACTGAACATTTCCGTGCGCCAGTGGGAGATCAAGCCTCTAATGTTGGCCTCCAAGATTGGCATAGAGGTTCGAACCGCACAATTACCAGACTTGAGCATTTGTAGGTGAATAAGGTTCACGATGCTGATAAGAAGCCGATGATCCAACGCTTGGAGGTAATTATTGTCAAGTTAAAAGAGGCATGACACATGAAATTGAAATTGAAATTGAAAATTGAAATTGAATTACATGGTAATTT